AAAGACAATCTCTTTGACAGATGGCAGTTGTGGATACAAGATCTTCGTCGAGCTATCCACCTACAGGTCCCTAGATGGTGGCTGACGACACAGACTGACAGTTCCAGACCTGTTGAAATTCACATCTTTTGTGATGCCAGTACGAGAGCCTTTGCCACGGTAGCCTATATGAGGTCAGAATTAGATGACCGACGTTATCATGTATCCATGATTATGACCAGAGGACGAGTAGCGCCATTGAAGATCTTAAGTGTTCCTCGACTAGAACTCCAGGGCGCATTGTTAGGAGCAAGAATGGCACATTCCATCAAAAAATATATAGATCTCACTATAAGTCGTGTCATTTACTGGTCTGACTCCCAAGACTGTCTTGAACTGGATTAGGTCAGACGCAGGACGCTTTAAACCTTTAGAAGCACATCGCATTAGTGAGATCGCAGATCTGACCGATCCAAGTGACTGGAGGTGGGTACCAACCCATCAGAATCACGCCGATCTTGCGACGCGAGAGAAAGTGACAGAAGATGCCAGTACCCTTTGGAGGAATGGACCAGACTTCCTCAGACAGGACGAGACTTTCTGGCCAGTTGAAGATGTCAAAATGACTGAGCCCTATCCTGACCCGGAAATGAAAATTACTCTAGTGACTACTACCACTTCGAACGATTGTGTACCTGATGCTACGCGATTTTCTAAGTACTGGCGACTTGTTCGAGCGACAGCTTGGATTTTGAGATTCAAGCGAAATTTAAAAGACAAACAAAACCGACGACACCATGAACTTCTAGCTGACGAATTAACAGAAGCTGAAATTCTTCTTATTAGAGACAGTCAGCGCGATCATTCCCCAGTGAGCGTCATTCCCTATTATCGACTAAAACAGTCCATAAAAAAAGTAGACTATATCAACTCGTACCATTTTTAGACTCTGAAGGGATCATTAGAGCGCGTGGCCGAATTGACTCTGCCAACGTTGGATTTGACACGAAAAATCCAATAGTGTTGTCACCGACAGATCACTTTACAAAATTGGTGGTCACGCAGTATCATGTTGATGCTACTCATAGTGGCAAAGAAAAAGTTCTTAATGATATTCGACAAAAGTTTTGGTTGCTTCGTGGTCGTTCAGCTGTCAAAGCGGCTTGGCGTACTTGTCAAGTGTGTAAAAATAAACACACCGCCCCGACACCGCCACTTATGGGACAAATCCCTCTAAGCAGATTGACTGCAGTTAAAGTTTTTGCGTATACAGGACTTGACTATTTTGGACCAATGACTATTAAAATAGGACGGCGACGTGAAAAACGCTACGCAGCATTATTTACTTGCATGACGGTTAGGGCCATTCACATTGAACTAGTTGACGATTTGACTTCTGACAGTGCTATTATGGCTTTAAGGCGGTTTATAGCGAGACGCGGTACCCCGCATGAAATTTGGAGTGACAATGCGACAACGTTTAAGGGTGCTGCCACAAAATTGCGACGACATGTTGAAAACCTAGACGCAGACAGGCTTAGACAATTTTTGAGTGTTCGTCACATACAGTGGAAGTTTATATGCCCAAATTCTCCCCACCATGGTGGGTGTTGGGAGAGGATGGTAAGGTCCGTAAAGACAGCACTAAAGATGACCCTTAAGGAGCAAGTACCCACGCAACATATTTTACAAACGCTACTGGTAGAAGCTGAAGATATGGTTAACAGCCGACCTCTGACACAGGTTCCACTTGACCACACTGATGACGTACCCCTGACCCCTAATCATTTTATTTTTGGAGAACAGACTAACTTTACGACTCAGACCTTGGACAATTTTACTAATACAGACCTACTACGAAGATCGTGGCGACATTCCCAGCGACTTGTAGACCTAGTCTGGAAACGTTGGCGTAAGGAGTACCTACCCACGTTAACCAGACGAGGCAAGTGGTTTATTGGAGTTAATCCATTAAAGGAAGACGACATAGTAATAATTTGTGACGACCAACTCCCTAGAAACCAATGGCCAAAGGGTGTTGTGACCAAGACTTATCCTGGCCCTGACGGACAAGTACGAGTAGCTGACGTGAAGACTGGGACTTACAAACGACCTGTAACAAAACTTTGCCGGCTCGACGTTAGACCCCCGACTTCTGACTGTTAGACATGGTGACTGGACCTGACTTCGTTCTTTCTCTTGCCTGACATGGCTGAGTATTGCTTCGCAATACTGGAGGTGGGAATGTTATGGACTTTTTAGTAGCTGGCCGAGTAACTGACTGACGGAACTGACGCTGACTTACCGTGACGTTGAAATCGAAAAAAAGACGATGACAAGAGATAGAATGAAGTGCATTTTTTATTATTGTATCTGGAAAATATACAGTTTTTGCCTTGAAAGACGCCTTTTCCGTTTCAAATGCCCATCGCCATTTGAGCATGTCTTCAGCTTACAGCTAGTTTCAATAATCAAACTCCAGTAAGAGATAGGCCTAATATAGCTTTGTTGCCTAAGATATATTTATTAAATAAAACAAGTTTTAACGGGTTATATGTACTGAATTTATTTATTTTTTTATTCCAGATACCTATTTTTCAGTTTCCGTACCTCAAAAGGAAAAAACGGAACCCTAATGGGATCACTTTGTTGTCCGTCCGTCCGTCTGTCAAGACCGTTTTTCTCAGGAACGCGTTGAGATATCAAACTGTAATTCATATCTAATACTCAGGTCTACTGTCCCTTAGAGCTTTGAAAAAATCAAACTTCTAAGCCAAAGCAATCAAAAGATACAGCCGTTTATGCCGCAAATTTCCGCAAATTTTCGAAGCTCGCACGGGAATCAAAACCTACAGAGTACTTTCCGTGAACTTAGAATCTTGAAATTTGGTACAAAGTAACGTCGTATATTACAGATAAAGGAAAAATTGCGAAAACCGCAAATTTTTAGTTAAATCATATAGTAAAAAATATTTTTGAAAATTCAGGTGTTCGGGTCCCTCGGTGCGCGAGTTCGACTGGCACTTGGCCGGTTTTTTTTATTAGTGTAGTGACCCCCTCCAAAATTCCAGGCTGCGACCGCGCCTGTGCGTGAGCAGAGATCCTTGCATGGTCGGTTTTCGAGGAACTTAACCACAAATTGTAATGAGCATTAAAGCACCCCAAGAACACCAATTCTGCATTGGGAAATTGCTCCTGCGCGTCATCTGCTGCCCGACTAAGATGTTCGAAAAGTCGAGTTGTCTCAACATCGCTATTATGGGATTAGTGGAGGCACACGTAGACTCTGGCCTGAAGACCAGAGTCGACGTGTACCCCCACCATGGAGAAGGAGGGATCTTCCAAGCAGCGGAGACGGCGACAACAAACATCCGCCGCCCGCACTCAAGATTGTGGTGAACAGCGTTGAGGTTAGAGTGGAGTCCGCGTATGTTGCAGAACTCGACTCAAACAGCTTTGAAGGCGTGGGGGTGTGCTATTCCTTAGTCGCATCTTACGACACCTACGGGAAGAGAAGGGACGGTGAGTTGTATTCTTTCTCCGTCACCGCACAGATAAAAATATATCATTAAAAATATATAAGTAATAGATAAAATCTCATAATATAAGGGTTCCGTTTTTTTCTCTTGTGGCACGGAACCCTAAAAATCAACTTAAAAGGTAATTTTTCCACCAATTCTTAAAGCAACGTAAGCATTAACGCAAAGGAAAACTATAAATATAAAGCTAGCATTTAATTTTTTTATGCATTAAACTCTTACATTAAATCAATAAGTCCTTTTTGAATTAATCTAAAATAAAACGTAAGATTAATAATAACGAGGCAGGGAAACATTTTGATTTGCAATATTAGCATTTACTGATTGCAAAAAACGACGAAAGACGAAATTGAGTTTAGAGTAATACTATGAATTCATCATCATCATCAGTCTATTAATGTACACACTGCAGGGGCACAGGTCTTCCTTCTGGAATGGAATGGAATTGGAAGATTGGGCCATGACTTACAATATGGGCCTAGTGCTGATTGGAGGGTGCTAATAACCGCAGATGTAAACTGAACCAAAAACTAACGTGCCATTCGAAGTACGGACGAGCAATAGATAATTAAGTTTTGGTCACTTGTCCCATAGGATAGAGGATTTGGTCATAACCAAATAGCGGCAGACCGAAACCGCTTAGCTACCACTTGAACTGTCGAGATATTCATCTTCGAATTCCTAATTGATAATTATCAATATAAAAAATATAAAATTATTAGTGTGTCTTATGCGCTAGCATTACTATAAAGTTTGTGTGTCTTGTAACATGACAATAAAAAAGTAGATACATATTTTGAATAAAATTAAAACACATTGTAAAAATATTTATATGTATTTGAAATACATAATGAAAATAAGTATTTTACATTTAAAATATAATTAATTTTAATTTAATTTTTATCTGTGTAATATATAACTAGGAGTTGATGTTAAATGGAAAACAATTTCATCTTCTTAACGATAATCCAAACCACAATATGAATTTTTGTCGCTTCTCTAGACACACTCAGTAGGAATATCTACCTTATACCTATATAACTGCTTTTGACAGATGGAAGTGATAATCTCAGAGTTATTTAATGATACATAACTGCTTTGTTATATCGCCACTAAGATACTTGTGCTAAAAAGCATCGATGGACATGCCATTTTTCTTTAGTTGAACACTGCAAGTAAATGTAAAAAACAAACGCAAATACGCCGGCTGAAAAGTGGCTACGCTTTTTTTGTCAAATGCTCCGTCCAATAAATACTATGTCTGTGGTCCCACCTCTCATAGTTCTTTACACTTCAATGTTAGAAATGTCAAAAAACGTAAAATGAAACGTATTTTATTTTTTCTCTGTGGTATTTACTTCGGAGTTGACTCATGATAATGAAAGATGGCGTTAGGTAACTAGCTCTGTCTGCTTTATCAACAATGCACCGACCAATGAAATTGCGAAATGTGTCCTACTTTCATGACGTCATTATTTCCACGTTGGAAGTTGTATCGACATGTCATGTTTCTAATAATATTTTCCTAATTTTTATTTAAACATCAAAATGAACTAAATACAACAAAATACCGTGTTATCTTTCTTGTGAAAGTGTTAGACTTATAGATTTTTTACGATGAAACCAGTGTGGAATGTCGCAGTACAAAATGACACTCGCTAACGCTACTGAGGATATGAACAGGATTTTAGAATATCTTACAAGGAATGACCAAGAATTAGGAGAAGTAAACACAAAAATGGACAACTTCCAACAAGACGGACTGATGGTTTGTATCTTCGTTAATAACCCGTCTGCGCGTCAGTTTGATAAGATATCACTGTATCAGGTAAAGGCCCGGTTAACACCAAACAAGCGTTTTGGCAGACGACCTGTGGAGTAATAAGTGATCGCCGCCACTAGTAGACCTCGTTCAACAAGCTTTCGTGCTTACGCTCCTACTTTTACCGTTATACATTCATTTCGTTTCGTGAACAGTCGCGGTGCACTCGCCGACGCCTCTCACTTGTCCAATTTTCCCAGTAGATTACCAGCCTGCAAATTCCTATTGTTCAGTAATCAAATACTGTTCAGGGTCCCACCCCAGTGAATGTGTCATTGTGTATTAAAAGACGCCCGTGAACCAACGCCGGTCGACTGATACCTATTTGCTGCGTAAACAACCGCGGTACATTGCCAGCTAGGCACCATGCGGTCGGTATTAACAACATATGCCATCTGAACAGCAGCAGTGATCATCATTTCTTTCCCTTGGTGACTTTAGTGGACATTTCTGGATTGCAGTTATTACTCAGTGAATTAATTGTACTCTTTGAAAGTGATTACCTACATATTTTTCCAGTGTTTTTCAATAGATTCAATTTCAATGAAAACTTGAAATATTCAACATGGATAAAAAAATAGATCTATTATCTTTTTTGGAGGTAATTTAGTGAATTTAACAATATTTTACTTTCTGTATTCCATTTCTTAGGAAGTTACAGAATAGATTTATATTAATTTAAAATAGTGAAAGTAAATAATACAATTTATTATCAAGTTTGATACTCATAACTCAAAAAGTAATTTAATAACAACTAAGTACATAGTAACATTCACTATTATATATTATGTTTTATCCTTGCAAAAGTTGAAGTGATTTGAGAGATAACATGTTGTTGATACCAGCAGATAGTAAATCTTAGTAGCCTGACTTCAAGTCAAACTGTAAATGTGTTTCAGCTCTAAGCATTACTTTCTCTTACCTACAGAAAAGAAAGCCTGAGTTACTACCTACTGTCACTGAAATGTAGAATATTATGTATTGAGTAGATTGATTTCAATATCCCCTTTAATTTAATTATATGTTTGTGAAAAAAATGTTGTTAATTGTGTAACTCTAGGTTATAAAATGTTTATTTCGTCAATATTTAACGCATTTCCAAAAAAATTACAGCATGATTTTATTTATTACATTGGCAGTGAAATTATCAATATTTAATACATAATATTTTAAACATTCTTATGCTCAGTCATACCAACTACTACACAAATGTTACCCAACCTATAGTTTTACACACTCAGTCATGATAAGTGTTAAAACTATCGGTAGGCGATATTGATCTGTATGTATTTATTAAATACTCATTAATCATTAGCAAATATCCCTAATAATTAGGTATTATTGTTTGTGCAACATAATAACAGTAGGTATTAAATTTTTGTCTATGAAAATTTTGAGTAATTAAAATGAGTGTACTGAAACTCCAACTATGTTAAAGTTGAGCTTTGAGTACCGCTATTTATACCAATAAATGATCAATGGTCCTCACCTTATTGTTTTAACCCTGCAAGATTAATCCCACTATGCATATTATAGAAATAGATTAATTTCGGTTTGGTAACAATGGGACTCTCACTGTTCTTGTTTGAATAAAAGCCCCAAAATAAATAAACAATTAAAAAACCCTGGGAGGGAACTGTCTATATATGAATATTTATTACAAACATTTATTTATATACCATGAGTGTGTAAAAAACCAAAGTTGGAGTTTTTTTAAGATAAATATTTAAATACATAGTTATGTATCAGTAGCATATTTTTAATGAAATCCACATAAGGTAGTTATTGGTGTCCCTTCTCGCATGATTCTCTAAACCTAAAATTTTTTTTTAAAACAGTGCATCCTTGTCATTAGTTTTAAGAGTATCATGCCAGAATTGGCACCATTTTTATAACTATTTCACAGAGATCAGAATTGAATGCCATTATTATTTATAATATTTTGCAACATACTACATGTAAGTAGGATCATAAGTACATTATCATGAACTTATACCTCTACCTCTTTCAGGCAGACAATTGGCCTGCCTCCGATGACTTCCTGGAGAATATTTTTTCCTTGGAGCAAGGATCGCTGAACTTCCTCGAAGAATCTATGCCAGACTTCACACTATGTCCAGAACCTGACAATGTATCACAACCATCTGAGGCTTTGAGCAGCTCATGCTCTGACAGTGGACTTTCCAGTGACCAGGCAGAATTGTAAGTTTACTTTTTATTTTTCTTAAAGGCTGATCTAATGATAATAATGAATAGAAAAGTAGAATATTGATTTATTAATACAAATAAATAAAAACATTAAACTTATATCCTCTTAAGCGGCAAACGGCCGACCGTCGGCAATTTTTACTACTATGAATTTATATTAAAATTATAAACTATAAAAGTGATCGCACATACGTCAGCACCGCACATATTATTGGAGTAAATTGTCACAATCTTATAGTAGAAACATAAAATAAATTTTATACTGCATATGTAGCCCTTATTTACGAACTTTAGATTTTACTTAATTACCTATAAGCGTTACGACAAACTGATGATTTTTAGGAAGTTTAGAAATGAGATATAATTATCGAGAATTGTAGATAACATTGATGAGGGAATGCAACGCGTTGGAAGTCGTTTTTGTTAGTCCTGCTGTTGCACAATACCTAGGTGAATTACACGTTTGCTGTTATAGATTGAGGCCGGAAAACCCCTACCTACTTGGTTTTCACACCTCATATGCACAAATACGTGATACTCCTTTCTAAGCACTGGTGTCAAACTTGACTTACGTATGCCTCGCAAGGTCAATGACTCCGTTATTACACGGTATTTTTTTTACGTCGTACTTTATTGAAAAAAGCGAATGCTCTTGTTATTTGTAACTTGTGATGTGAATGAACTTCACTTATTTGCTTACATTAATTATATGACTTTTTTCTCACTGCGTGATAAGAGTGGTATTGACTAACTTGACAATTCAAATTCCATTCATAAACTTAGTCTGTGTAATGTAAACTTAGGGTGTTATAACTGGGCTAATAGGCTTTGAAATTTATTATTTTTTCATATATCATAGATATGTCAACAAAAATATGCATATAATAACAGATCTGCAGCACATAGTATTTATTCAAAATTATATGCTGTATTATAACTGCGATTTCAAGAACGCAGATTTAATAAATTGTTTCTGCTTTCCATTAATTTTCCTTAATCGAAACTTTTCCTAAATTACTCATTGCCTTGATCCATGTTAATCGATTGATTTATTACCGGTAACAAACGAATAATTACATTTTAATTTAATTCCTTTTCCAAAAATTGTAAGAGCTAAAAAAGATTTGGCTATCAACCAACATACGGTATTTTGTTGTAATTGCACAGCAAACTGTCGATCATCGTTTTAAAGTACCGATGTGTAGATGGGAGTACTTATACTATTTTGTGTTACTTACTTAAAATTTTAATTATGCAACACAAGAAACTACTCGTATCGATGCTCAATTGATCGATTGAGCAACAAATATGGGAAGGTAAGTAAGTATAAAATACCCAATCAATATATGTATATATTTTTTCGCTTTACAATAATGTTCCGAACTAGGTAATTGATTAATAATATTGCGTATTCGTAATAAAATTCTGGTCTGCTATATTTAAAAAAAATATTTTGATTCCTCCTTTCGGCAAACGCAGAGAGACCAATCAATTTATCTATGTTTTGATTATATCACCATATATGTTTTTAATAAAAGTAATACCGAAATTACGCAACCTAATTGCTTCTATGTGAAAACTTGTGTAATTCGAATCGTTGTTTGAATTTATAATTCTTAGAAGCATTTTATTACCTAACAAAAAGTAAATACTATACGTTGTACTGATTTAAAGAAAATTAGGGAGATTATTATATTTTAATATTTTTCATGGTGCCATCATAGCATACTTTCAAAAAGCTTCTCAAGCCTACGTAAACCTTGCCAACCACGCCACGCTGGAGCTAATGCTGTGCATACTAGCCAAGCTTTGCCAAACGTGCAAACGCGGCATTTAACATGGCGAAATCTCCCCTTAATATTTTATCATATTCAAGGGAGTCGTAAACAACGTACGACTGGTCCACGTCAACCTACCTACATAGTAGAATGTCAGGCGGGTTTTCGGACCGTGTCGTGCGTGACTCACGGCAATACCACAATGATGCAACTTCTTTGCATCATAAGTAACTTAGCGAAGCCGATAGACTGGCGAAGTTGTACATGGTTAATTATCCCTGTGGTGTGGAAAATCAAATGGCATGTGATATGGTATTACATATTGGCCCATCAATATTTTACCAATCAGTGGTTACGATAGGTTTGCGAAGGAGTTAAGTGCTGGACGACGCTCAGTAGGCAGGCCTCCAGCAGTTGGACGGCCAGTCGAGTTTTCATGACTTTTACCAGAACGTGTAAATTCGATTGGTGTGAAAACCTTTAGGCGCTATTCCGATCCCGGCTGCATGCAGACTGCACTTGCAGCGAGCATGTGCAGCCCGCGCCTTTTTTTTTGTGACGCAGGCAAAACCTCTGTTTACACACGGCGCCTTTAAGAGGCACACCGCCGAACGGACCCCACACCTGGCTCCCACAAGCCTTACGAGCCCCCGCAGTGGCGGGAGAACCCCGTAACTCTTGCGGGCGCTCTACGGCATAATATCCGCTAAAAAACTCTGCGAACGCCCTTTAAGCTGCTTAGTGCGAAACCTTCTCGAAACTTTCTTCCGCGTATCCGCACCCAGCAGCCTCCCGGTCTAGCCGGGGCATTTGCAGCCTGTGCCTGCTGTTGATATTGATTCCGAGGCTGGCTGCAAGTGCTGCGGCAGCAGGAGGCGGCCAGTTGCTTCCTATATTTCAAGAATATCGGACTTCGGATGGAAAAATCTTGAAAAATTATACTTTATTTAAATTGACTTATTGAAAGCTTTTTAATTAGTCCAATAGTTTTTCCTAACAAATCAGGACATCTTTTATCTGATAAAAATAATGAGTAACAATAAAGACTGAATAAGCAAATATATTCTAGCGTTCCAACGTGCAGGCGCTGCACATTTGGTCTGCAGCCGGCGACGATCGCAGGTCGCAGATTTACTTTTAGCTGATGCCCGGTTGCACGTACAGCTGAAGCGGGGTTCGGAATGTATTTCATACAAATTCATACAAACCAGTCGTGCACCCGCATCCGGCTACTTGCTGCTGCTGCAAGTGCTGTTTGCATCTGCAGCCTGCGGCCAAGATCGGAATACCACCTTTAGGAAAGTAGCATCGACTGCTCACTGGGTGTCGTGCGATTTGATAATAACGAAGTTTGCCAGAATTGTTGTACTTAGCGGGTCTCTAACCAGCAGCTGCCACCACTGCGCTCTGTCTCTCTCTCTCTCACTCCCACATTCTTACTGATTTATTCATTAAAGTTTTCAGGGTAGCCGCTGAATCATGAAGAAAAATTTATCAATCATATGGAGGTTTGGTCTTTATAATATGCCTAAAGGACAATGGCGAAATATTTGTTGAAGTAAATCTTTAGCGTCTATAGATGTCATTATCAGAGATGATAATAAAATAATCTCAAAAGATTTATTAAATAATTGAGGAGGGTTGTCTAAGTCTGGAATTAAAAATTTAATAAAGGGAAACTCAATTGACTGTTTTTTTTATTTGTATTGTGGCTTGGCATCATGGCTTTTAAGCCATTTATTTTGTGATTTTAGTGCTTAAATCAACTTCAAGTATGTTGTTCGTATGTTTTGCATCGCTTTACGCTTAAACTATATTTAATTATCTATCAAAAACATCAGGAAACATTATTTTTCAATATTATACTGAAACCATAATAAATAAAATATTCTTCACAATACAAAAAGAGTATGGCGAAAATTCTAACACAAAAAACTATAACTGTCACTGTCATGCTTGTCATCGGTTTGTTGTTGTTGTTATCATTATCGTTGCATGTGCATTTTGCAAAATTGCAAAGATTTAAATCGGTGTATTGTGTTTTTTTCTGAGATTTGTTTTTTTATGTGATCTGGACTTCTTTTCTTACTTTCGAGATCTTCCTCGGCGACTGTTGAGTAGTGCTTATTTTGTACGACTATATTTTGGACGATCTTGATGTGGATTTTGGACAAGATTCTGTCCCATACTGTGGATTTTATTTCATTGTATCTACTATCTAGTTAGATTAAAACAAAAACTATCTATGTAATTGTTATCAAAGAAGATGTGGAATAAACAATATAAAAAAAAAGTTTCATATTTATTTAATGTCCCATTAGTACACTATTAGAAATCCTTTTTTATGTTTTTATATTGCTGTCCAGGGGTATTTTCAAATTGTTAAGTACTTCTTACAGCACAGGCATTGTATTCGAACTCATTGACCCATGTCTATTAAGTATTATTAAATATTTTGACGCGGTCAGTACCTACGCTACGCCCGCTGATCATACATAAAAATCATTTTTTTTGTCACTAATCTACGGGGTCTATATACTTTTATAGTTCCGTTCCACGTATTTTTTATTTTGATCTAAAAATATTCTTGAAAATTATTTTATAATTCGTTTTTGTATTACTTGTTATAACATAACCTCTAAAACTTCAATGTGGAATATCTATAAATCCTGACTTCCTATAATAAAATAAATAAGGCGAATCAAATCTAGAATCTAAACTCTATAATTTAACATATAATTCATTTATAGACGCAAAAAAAATGACAACAAAAATTTGTATGGGAGTTCGCCATTGTCCTTTATGTATCGTGTAAAAAAAATATTATTATGTCCACGACTTTCGTTCTTACTTACCTACCTTACCTACTAACTTAAATATTTACACACTTTTAAAAATATTGTTAAATAACAACCATGAGAGCGTAAAATAATTAATGCATCACGACAATCTTCATTTCGTGCTCTCCATAATGCTATTTAGTTAAGCATTGCGTTTTTTTCTGAATGGAGTTTTTAAGGTCGAACTAATAACTTCACATCTAACTATATAATATGTTTTTGTGAGTATGTTCTTAAATCTGATAATTTTTATTCACATCGAAAGTAGTTACGCATACGTACGCGTTATTACTTTCTCTCGTTACTTTCATGCGTTTGAGTATCCATCAATGCTTTTAATTAACGATTAAGTACATAGTGAAAATAAACCTTTTTT